CTTAAAAAAAACACGAGGAGACAATAAACTAGATGTTAACTTCAGCAAGTCCTTTCTGATGGGAGCCACAGTAAACACCCACCTCTTCTTATGGCCCCTCCAACCCAGAAATACAACAAAGGCTTTGCTTAAACCCAGAAACTACAGTAAAACGGATTTACCAGCTAATTAGATCATAACAAGCGATTCAAGTGTGCAGGCCATGAGAATGGAGTCAGAACTAAAATTTAAAAAAAAATCAATTACTTAGCGGAATGCAGTGGTGACCAGCTTAGTAATAGGTTTTTATAGCTCCGTGTGGTTTCAGTCAGCTGAGAAATGGGCTTCGAGGACAGAACGGTACCATGTGGGGCAATGAGAACGGTTCGTAGTATGAGGCATAGCGAGAGCGTGTTACATAGGTTCACGTCACAGGGCAGGAGGCAGTGTGCGGGCCCGCTCGGGCATCCAGTTGTCCCGAGGGTGCCACCCTTGCCTTTGGGCTAAGGGGTGAAGGGCGAAGAGGCTGGCTGGCACCGATGTTTCGTAGAGTGACCTTCGGGGTAATAGGCTCCAGAAAGCCCCCTCTCTGCTTGGTGGCCTGCCTATTCCATCCGACCCCAGAGTGGTTATTCAGGGGTCTCAGGGCCTGTGGGGAAGTCTGTCAGGACAACAGCCACCTGGCGAGCTTGGGTGGCGTCTCAGAGGGGAATTGGGAGTTTTAAGGTAGAAAATGCTTTCTAGGGAGACCAGGAAGGCCTTTGAAATGGTGGGTTCCAATCCTGTTAGTGGCACTTACTGGTTCTGGGACTCAGGCGAGGCCCTCTGTGTCACTCAGGGGGCCCGTGTGGACAAGGGGAAATGTAAGGACTCGTCTGCCCACCTTCCAGGGTTGCAGAAGTCAGATGGGGACCACCTAAATGTAATGCGTACCCTGCAGTGTGTTTGAAGAACAAGAAACTAAAAACTCTGATTGTATTTTTGAAAGGTTTTTAAAATTTATTTTTAGAGGGGAAGGGAGAGAGAAAGAGATGGAGAGAAACATCAACACATGGTTGCCCTTCACGCACCCCCTACTGGGGACCTGGCCCACAACCCTGGCTTGTGCCCTGACTGAGAATCGAACCTTTGACCCTTTGGTTTGCAGTCTGGTGCTCAGTCCACTGAGACACACCAGCCAGGGCAAAGCTCTGATTATTTTAAAGTGCAATTGTTAAGCAAAGGCACCTGCTGAAGTGGTAACAAAAGTGAGTGGTGAATGCCCACAATAAACGGGCTGAGAACAGCAAGCGCCCTCTGAGTGAGCACATCGGCTCCTCATCAGCCTTGTGGGAATTCGGATATGCAGATGCGTGCGTGGACCTGTGTGTGGACCTGGGGTGTGCAGTTACGTCTGAGTGTGAGGCTGGGTCTCTTTTGGGGTGGGTGGGCCCAGCGTCTGTGGGTTGGAGCTGAACAGAGTGTCTGTCTCTGCTGGCCTCATCTTCTCACATGTACCAAGCTCTTGCCCACCTCGGGGCCCTCTGCCCTGAACCTTTCCTTTGGTCCCCTCTCAGCTGCTCCCTCACCCTCTTGAGGTTTCTGCTCAGATGTCACCTCCTTAGAGATTTTCCTTGGCTGTTGTGGAAACCAGCTACTTCTTGGTGTGAGGGAGCTTCCTGCTGAGATGTTGTTCTGTATCTTGCTGAAGATCTGGTTATGTGAACGAGTGCTCCTTGTCGAAGCCTATTCAATGGTACATCTGACATTCGTGCACTTTGCTCTACGTTTCCATCCAAAAAAGCACCATCAGCAAGCATTGACCTGCATTCATGATATGCCTGCTGAAGTGCTTCAGTAGGTAAAAAGCAGTCAAATGTGGGCAAGTTCATGTGGTCCAGCCCACTGCTTCTCCCTGAACCAGCCCTAACAGGAGCTCCCCAGGGCGCGTTCCACAGCCCGGCAGCCTTGGGGCCCACTGGGAGCTGGTGAGAAGTGCAGACTCTCGGGGGCTCCAGACTTGCTGAGCCAGAGTCTGGGGTGTGGGGCCCAGCAGCCTGTGTTGATGCAAGGCTTCCAGGTGGCCCTGATGGATCTCAGGTTTGATGGGGGCCAACTGCTGTCCCATGGCTGAGCACACGGGCGTCATGAGTGGTGGGTCTGTCGGTGTGGCAGAGGAGCCACCTCGCATCCCCTCGGCTGCTTCTCCACGTTTCCTCGTGAGGCTCCAAGCCTGTCTCCCCCACCAGCCGACCCAAGAGAAGGGTGCGGCTGGTCCCTGCTGCATCCTCAGGGCCTCACACAGAGCCTGGCACACACTAGGTGCTCAGCAGAGACGAGTAAAGACCTGTGAATAAATGCACAGGTGTGCACAGCAGACCCGTCCTGGTGTGAGGGCCACTCGGTGGGTGTCGGGTGGTCATCTTGGCCTTCACCTGGGTTCCCTTCCCTTCCTTTCCTGCTATCTGCACACCTGGTAGAGCCCATCTGCCCTGCCTCCAGCATGCATCCTGCAGCCATCTGCTCTCACCTTCGCTGCCCCCATCCGGTCCACCATCCAGGTCCAGGCCGGCGCCATCCCACTCCTGGGTGCACACCTGCACTGTTGCCCACCCACAGCCTCCACACAGCTGCTGAGTGACCTTTCCACTGTAAATCAGATCACGCCACTGCCCTGTGCCAGACTCTGCATCCGCTCCCCACTGCATGTCCACTGACATAACAGCCGTCCCCAAGGTCTGTAGGAGCACCGTGGCTTGTCCCCTGTCCTTCCTAACCTCACCTTCGTCCCACCAGTCATCCCAGACCAGCCCCACCATCTTCTTTTATTTATTTATTTATTTATTTATTTATTTATTTATTTATTTATTTCCTGTTACATTTTTTCAATTAATTAATTTTTTTAAATTGATTATGCTGTTACAGTTGTTCTATTCCCCCCTTCATTCCCCTCCACCCTGCCCCCCCAACCCCACCATTACCCCCCTTTAGTTTATGTCCATGTGTCTCAAGTCCTTTAGGTTCTACATTTCCCATGCTATTCTTGCCCCCCCCCATCAATTTTCTATCTACTGTCTATGCTACTTATTTTCTGTACCTTCTCCCCCCATCTCCTCCTCCCACTCCCCTGTTGCTAACCCTCCTTGAGATCTTCATTTCTATATTTCCACTCCTGATCTAGCTGTTCTTTTAGTTTGCTTTCGTTTTAGGTGTGGTTGTTAATAACTGTGAGCTTGTTGTTCTTTCACTGTTCATGTTTCTTTAACTTCTTTTTCTTAGATAAGTCCCTTTAACATTTCATATAATAAGGGCTTGGTGATGATGAACTCCTTGAATTTGGTCTTATCTGAGAAGCACCTTATCTGTCCTTCCATTCTAAATGAAAGTTTTGCTGGATAGAGCAATCTTGGTTGTAGGTCTTTAGATTTCATGACTTGGAATATTTCTTTCCAGCCTCTTCTTGCCTGTAAGTTCTCTTTTGAGAAATCTGCTGACAGTCTGATGGGGACTCCTTTGTAGGTGATTGTCCCCTTAGCTCTTGCTGCTTCTAGGATTCTCTCCTTCATTTTAATTTTGGCTAATGTAATTATGATACGCCTTGGTGTGTTTCTTCTTGAGTCCAACTTTTTTGGTACTCTCTGGGCTTCTTGGATTTCTTGGAAGTCTATTTCCTTTGCCAGATTGGGGAAATTTTCTTTTATTATTTGTGCAAATAGTTTTTCCACTGGTGGTTGTGTCTTTCCCCCTTCTGGTACCCCTATAATTCGGATATTGGAGCGTTTAAAGATGTCCTGGAGGTTCCTAAGACTCTCCTCATTTCTTTGAATTCTTGCTTCCTGACTCTTTTCTGTTTGGCCATTATTTGGTTTCTTCTGGTCCACTCCATTGATTTGAGTCCCAGTTTCCTTTTCATCTCTATGGGTTTCCTGTGGAATTCCATTCATTTCCCTTAATTTAGCCTTCATATGTTTCTCTAATTTGTGGCTATAATCAACCAGATCTGTGAGGAAGCTGATGACCAGTGTTTTAAACTGTGCGTCTGAGAGTTTTGCTATTTCTTCGTCGCTTAGATTTATCTCTGGGGCTTTGAGGTCTTCCTGCGACATTTTTGGTCTGTTCTGGCCCTTTAAATGTGAGAAACTGCGCCTTGGACTCCCAGGTTGCTGGGTTGTGACGCTGTATGTGGGGGCGTGGTCAGAGCGGGGAAATGGCGGCGCCCTCTATCGCCACCGCGGCTGGTCCGGCCGGTCCAACCGCCCACTCCCTCGCTCGCGCACAATTAGGCAACCGCAGTCAACTCACTGCACCGCCTCCCCACTGTCTCCTCTGCAGTCGCTCACCCGGTAGGTTGCTCGGTCGCTCACTAGGTCCAATCCTGGGTTTGGAACCCGTGCGTCTGGATTCCGCGCCCGGGTCCGACCGAGCCCTCCTTTGCAACTCCTCACCAGACGCTGGTTTCGCCCCTTACCGGTCGGGCTGAAGAATTTGTTGTTAGCAGACTTCCGAAAAGTTCAGTTTTCTGTGTTCTGGTTGTGTTTTCTGATGCTAATATTTAGTTGTCCCTAAACTTGGTTGTGTGAGGAGGCACGGCACATCCACCTAAACCTCCATCTTGGCGGAAGTTCTCCACCATCTTCTTATTGCACCTCCAAACCTTCCTCACGTGCCTCCTTCGCACACGGCCGTCCTTCCTCCTGAACCTCTTTCCCTTGTACGTTCAGTGTCTCTCATCCTTTGGCTTTTCCTGACCTCCAGACGAAAACCAGCCCCCTACCACCAGAACCCAGCACCAGTTACAGTCGTCGTTTGTCCATGTACTTGTTTATTGTTCGCTCCCAGCGGCCTCCCAGGGGCTTGTTCTTGTTCATGTTCATGCAGTTGGCTGATGCCTGGAGCAGCACCTGGTCCCGGGTGGGGCTGGGTGGGAGAGAAGACAGCTTCCCGATCCCTTTGCTCCCGAAGAACCACCTGGCATGCCGGGGTGTGGTTTGCTTCCTCCTGGGACCTCCTGTTCCTGCTCTGAACCCCTCTTTGTCTTTTAGGCCTGTGCACACCGCTGGAAGAACATCTACTATGAAACCGACCACATCCTGCCCCACGGCTTCTGTTACGTCATCCCGTCCAACCTCCAGGCCAAAGGCCGGACGCTGATCCCTTGCTATGAAGGTGCGCACTCTCTCCCTCTATCCACGTTGTGCTCCAAACAACCCCCACCTGTCTCCATTGTCCCCAGCTTCCCCGGGCTGTAACAGGAGGGCAGCACTGTGTCCCCAGAGGGACTCTTGGTTCCGAGGTTCTGCCCGGGTAACGAGCTGGGTGAGAAGGGGGCAGCAGTTCTGGGCCCTGCCCACCCTCACCCATCTCTGTCCCGGAGCCCCTGGTGCTGTCCAAGCTTCGTGAAGTCTCTGAGACCGACGTTCACCCAGCCTCAGCCAGGATGTCACATAGAACTCTTGGTTTCCTGGCACTTCCTGATGCTGTGCAAGCTTGGGGAACTTACTTTCTCTCTCTGGGACTCAGTTTCCTCACCTGAAAATCTAGAGGTTGGCTCATAGGGTCTCCACAGCCTTGTGTAGCTCACAGGTGGACATAAGCCTTCTGACATAGCTCCTGGGCACACCCGTGGACAAATGTCCTGAGGCAGGGGTCAGAGAAGTTCCAGAATGCAGTTGTTACAACGTGGGATGTCTGACTTTCCTTCTTCTCTGGTCCGTGCACCCTGTCAGGTGCCTGAGAATTGGGTGTACTCTCAGCGGAGTTTGAAGAGTTCCTCCCCAAGGGGCTTTTGGGATCTTGGAAGGAAAATGTATTTTCTCAGGCTCCCTGCTCAGAACCTTCAAACAGCGGGGCCCTGGGGACCACCGAGCCAGTCATTAGCTCCATCGAATTTGGCGTTAGGGATTGAGAACACGCTGTCATTTTCTTCAGCTTTATCGCTTGTGCGCTCAGGTTTTCTCAGCCCAGCTCTGAGTGAGCCAGAGCCTGGGTCCTCTCTGAATGCTGGCCGTTCAAATTTGAATTCTCCCCCTAATTCATTTGTGTGGATGAAGCCTTGACTCGCCTGTGTCCACATTTCCTGTGGGCCTCCCTGGGTTTTCCCCAACTCTATGGCCAGCAAAGAGGGTTCTGAGAAATGCCGTCTAGACCCAAGCGCTTTCCTGCCTCCCAGGGGACCCCCCAGGCCCTGCAGGGGTCTCAGGTGGCTGGAGCAGGGTGTTCTCCCAGGCTCTGCAGGGGAGCTGGCAGGGTCCTGCAGGGCCCGGACTCTGGTCCCTGAGGATGAGTCTTTCTCCCCAAGTGTCAGCATTTGATCAGCTCTGGCCGGGCCACGCCGGGGAAATGGAGTTCCGCTCTAGTTTATCTCTGCACTGGCCTCGTTAGAAGAAAAGCTTTATCTGAAAAAGAAAAGTTTTATCTGAAAAACAGACAGTGATACCGCAGCTCATCAGAGGGAGGGGTAGGTTAAATACACCAATAACGGGCCAGGACTGTGTTCCCGGAACCAGGGGGGGAGCCCTCGGAACCCTGTGGGTGCCTGTCAGGCCGGGGGACAGGAGGGGTCCATAGGGGTGGGAGGCAGAGATTATTGGACCCAAACTAGTCATGTGAAAGGACCAGCTCTTCGGTTTCCTCGGAAGACGTGCTGCTGTCCTGGTGGTCCCCCCATGTCCCCCTGGGTCCCACCGTAGGCATCAGAAAGCGAAGGCCCCTAGAAGAGACCCCCCGAGGCCATGGCTCGCACCTGTACGTGACCTTTTATTAGCAGCCGTGGGGTCAGGAACAGGCCAGTGTTGGTCTGGGGACCACGCCTCCTCTCGTTCGATCTTCACCAGCCCCCTGAAAAATAGGGATTTTTTTCACTTGGGTTCGAATGTGGGCAGTTTATTTCAGAAGTTATGCAAGAAGACACCAGTAGGGGTGTAGAAAGTGAGAACAGGAAGGGCAGGCAGGGGTCGGGGATGTGACCCACAAGTCACCACCGTGGGCGGTGGAGACACAGTTGCTGGGCAGCACTGTGGCCCACAGAGAACACCCCTCGGAATTGTCCCACCCGAGGGCCGAGGAGCCTGGGTCTGGGCATTCTGCCCTCCCTGTCTGTGGGCAGGTGGCAGTGGGAAGGGCTGAGGGGGTGGGGGCGGGGCCCCCGCCGGTGGACTTCTGTGCAGCCTTCCTCCAGTTACACGTGAGGAAGCTGAAACTCAACGGTTTAAGTAAATTGCCAAAGGTCACTCATACAGTGACTTGTAGAGCTGAGTTTTGCATTTTGCCTCTGTCTGACCTCGGAAAGCTTTTTGTGCCCTGGTGGTTAGTGGTTTCTGTTTGTGTTTTGGACTTTCAGTTGAGATGAGAATTGAGTCAGTCGGCCAACAGCCCTCAAAGAACGGAGAGAGGGAGGGTGACCGAACTATCCCAAAGGATAATCTTGAAGTGAGGGGAATGTGAATGCCGTGGTGATGGTGCTCCCGAAATCCCTGCTTGCTCTCCCTGTGTCTTTGTCGTTGGTGGCTCTGGTGAGGTGCTAGGCAGGAACGTGGAAGCCTGTGTGAGCCACGGAGAGCAGCAGGTCTGCCCACGTGTCCCTTGTTCACAAGAGTGTGTGAGCTCTGAGCCGAGGCCTGAAGAGGCGCCGTATTTCCCACCCCCCCTTTGAGTGCCCGGACTGTGCCGTAGAATGTGCACCTTGTGGCTCACTGGGCTCAGAAGAGAGACATGTAGAATCCACCTGAACTGAACCTGTGGCCAGAAGCCAACTAGATCAGCCAAACCCCAGCTGACCTGTAGATATATGAGTGAGGATGAGTGCTTTTGATTGTTTGCCAGGGAGAGCTCATGGTCCTTACGCAGTGATAGCTGACTGACGTCTCAGGAACTGACATTCCACTTAACGGTGGCTGCGGGGTGGGCTCGGGCCTCCAGGATTGCCTTGGATTGTTCCTTGACTTAATGATGGTCAAACAGAGGCAAGCAAAGAATTTAGCAAAAAAGTTGGGCTCTCACCCAGGTCTCTTTCCCTACAGTCTCTCTCTCTCTCTCTCTCTCTCTCTCTCACACACACACACACACACACACACACACACACACACACTCTCACTTCTGTATCCCAACTCATTCTTTGACCCAGGGAGCAGTAAAGGGGTGGGGCTGGGAGGGGAGTGTTGGGGTATCCGAGCAGCCCCTTAGACCAGTGAGGGACTGAAGAGAATGTTTCTGTGTGTCATGGTCCTGGGAACGGCAGGGTTGGGGGGGAGTTACAGAGGCTCAGTCTCCTCTGGGACACTGGACTGGCAGGGTAGGGGATGCAGGCCTCAGCTGGGGCTCTTGTCTGTGCTCTGTCGGCTCTGGGGATCTCTGCCTCCCTTTTTTGTGGTCTAAACTAAACCTAGTTTGGCTCTGAAGGCAACCACTATTTCCTTTTAATGTGGAAAACTTCAGTGACGCAAGCTCTTTATTCACTGGGCGGGGGATCACGTTTTAATGAAGCACAACGGAAGTATTTGTGAGTTTGACAAGACCTTTCAGATGCCACCCAGGCCCGCCTGTCTTTGTTGAGATCTAGAGATGGGTGTGGCTTCCTCAAGGCCAAGTTTTTCTTTCCACTGTTACTCATATACCACACAGTGGAGAGCAGCATGGTGGCTATGAGCCCAGACTTTGGACCAGACTGCTGGAGTTCAAGACCTGGCTCTGCCATTTGTTAATGGTGTGACTTCAGATGAGTTATTTAATGCCTTTGTGCCTAGTTACCCTCAAGGAGCTTGAAGAGGATTGAGTTAATATTTGTTAGCTCTTAGAACAGGGCCTGGCAGGTATATACTGATATGCTAATATACCATGTTACTTGCTAATATTATATACCAAGCAAGTGTTTGTTAATCACTGTGGGGTGTCTAATCGGCCTACCGGGAGGAGAGCTCATTTAGCTCACTAAGTGCCCGTTAGACACTGTGCTAAGTGGCTGACAGATAAAACCCAAGTGACACCGTCTCAGTTGTCAAGACGTTTCCCATCTATAGCAGAGAACAGAGAAGGAGGATGGTGTTCCGAAAGTGGGAGAGCTGTGCGTGGGACGGAGAACTCCATGCCAGTGCACACCATTGGGTACCTCTCCCCAAGGGCACATGCTGCATCCAAGTTCAAGGTGGCATTAGGGCAGAATTATTTTATTTTATAACTGGGAAAACTGAGATGTGTGTAGAGTCTGCTGTCTGTTGGGGCCCATGGAGGAGGAGGAATGGTGGGAATCCATAGTTGGTCGTGGCAGAGGGTGCAGGGCAGGGGAGGGAGGGGTGCATTTTCTGTGGCAGAGCGGAAAGACTGTGGAAGGGGGTGGGATGCTTCTTCAGACCTGCTCTTCCATGCTTCTGTCTGCTGTAATGGCACCATCGAATTGATTGGGTTGGCCAGAAAGTCCGTTTAGTTTTTCTGTAAAACAAAAGACACCTTTTGCATTTTCACCAATAACTTTATTGATTTGGATATTTTGAGTATGTCAGCTGTCTCCCATGTGATATAACACTGATTGTTCTCAATGTGTTGATTTGATTGACGTCCACTTGAATCAGTCTGCCTGACCGTGGAGCATCGTCCAGTGAGAAATCTCCAGCATAACACTTCACAAACCATTTTTGACAAGTTCAGTCACAGCACCTTCTCCATACACTGCACACATCTTTTATTTATTTTTTTGCATTTCAGTTGTGTTTTCACCTTTCTTGAAATAATAAAGCATAATATACCAAAAAAGTTTCATATTTTCTTTCATCTTCAATATTAAAATGGCTACACAAAGATTCATCAATTTTGATACATTTTTTTAAAGACATGCTAATTTGACAGCTGTCACAACACAATCTAACAAAATTATTTTGAATGAATTTACAGACAACTAAGCACTACTGGAACCATCGTATGGAAAAAACCAAACAGACTTTCTGGCCAACCCAGTACTTCTCAGGGTTATCGTGAGGGCTGGATCCTGAGAAAACCCAGGCGAAAGTGCTCAGAAAGACCGCAAATAGTTCTATAGCTGTGGCCCATTGTGGGTCCCGGTGAGGGTCAGCTCTGCTCTGCAGAACTGTAGCAAGGTCAGTTTAATGAAGGAATCCTGTAAGTGTGTGGGCACCTGTCCAGATGTCTCAAACTTCCGAATTCGTAAAAAACTGGTC